ATAATATATGGCATAAGTATGTTACAAGTACAATTGTAATTTGTTTCTTATGTTTTGGAAGGAGCTTCTGCAACTTTATATGACATTTCCTAACCGGATTCGATTCAACTTTGGGTTTTGTTACAAAGGAAATAATATAGTTAAAGCAAACAGAAAGACAACTAACTTCACAAAAACCTAACACATAGCTAGCTAGAGATGCATTTCAACAAAGTTTAGTAAGAAATTTTGAATAAAGGCAACTAAAAGAATGGCTCAATTTTTCTCCAACAAAGTTTCATAGGATCAACAAAGATCAAAGTGATGCTCTGTTATATTGCAGTTTAACTATAGAAGCAAAATGGATCTTTTACTTATGAAATTCACTCATCGTCACAATCTTCTTGAACTATTTGTTTCTTCTTCGACTGCATACGGAGTTTGCTCTTGAGTCAGAGAAAATATGGCCTCTAAGATGAGTAAGAGCTCATACCTTGATGACTAAAGAAAGATGTCTTCGATCAAATCCTGCAAAAAGTAGCAATTACATCTGTAATGTGCAACATAACAAGAAATGCAGTAGATGTGCAACATAAAAACAGAGACCAAATCAGAACCTTTTCACCTCTTCAAAGCGAGACTCTTTGAATATTTGGTTTTCCTTCCCTAAAAGTTGAAAAATCTGAGAGTGTATGTCTAAAGGTAACGAATTGTCTGCTTCAATTATCTGGAAAATTCAAGAACATAAATTATATGATCAAACATTTAACAGCCCTAAACACATTACTGAAAGTTAATCAACAATCCAAAATAAGAGCTTGCACTGTTTGCGAATTGTAAATCGCGGGTCACTCTTTCGAACATAAAAAAGAGTTAATCCAATATGACTCGCTTCTTCTTCAATTCGACCAGATCCACAGAACCCCCACCACCACCGATTCCGACTCCGAGATCGATTCTCTAATCTCTGGTTTCTTCCGATCTATTATCAAACCATCCACGGTCTCTTACCTATCATCTATAAACCCGTTGATTCATCTCAAATCCTGACCTGATTTCCAAAAACTCGAGCTCAAATTCTGTTCCAATTTTAATGGATCCGGAATTTGGGTTAAGTTATACGGCGGAGATGTCAAGCTCGAGAAAGGCGCTGTTGTAATATGGAAAGCTGAGTTTGGTGAAACCCTAAAAAGCTTCGTCATCATCACTTACCATTTCGCGACGGTTAATCCGACGGAATCTACACTCGTCGTCGACGGTGGTGCTGAGTCCGATTCAAAGCTTGTTTGTGGATTGAAGATGCGCGTGGTGTGAACAAGGGTAATTTAGGAATATAGGAAAAAAATTAGTGGCACTCTTGCAAAAGTTTTTAAAAAGTTACATTTTTGTAAAGTAGCATAGGGAATTTGACATTTTTTAAAATTTCTCTTATATAATTGACCGCAAATAATTAGAATGAAATAAAAATTGAAAAAATGAAACATATACTTTCTGAGCAGTCTACAGCTAGAGATAGCTTTCTAGAAAGTTTTAGAAGAA